CCCCACTGTGTGTCATATTCGACCCCTTCACAGTACTCATCTTACCTTTTCTCTGCCTTTGTGTGTCTGTCTCTTTCACATCTCTGAAACACTCCCCTATTCCCCCTCCCCCCTCCCGCTCGATAATTTGTCACTTTGATGTTCCTCCTTCTCTCTGTGAAGCCCGAAGTCGGTTAAAGGGCTAATGATTACTATCAAAACGCCTGCCATTTGAGATAAATAAATAATAACCTATCTCCCCCCTCCCCCACACTCCACCCCAATCAAGTTTAGAAATTTATAATTGCGTGAAGAGAAAGAGCATCATGAAAGAACAGGATTCAGAATAAGAAGGAACAGGCGATGCGTTGAAACCGGGCAATGATAGAGGGACTGAATTAACTTACTCAGAGTGGTGTTAGTCGATGAGCAATAAATAAGCAACATCATCATCACCACCACCATCATCAACATCATTCAGTTAAATTAAGAAGGAATATGAGTCAACGCTATGGGGAAAAAAACTTTCCTTTTTGCATTACAACATGTTAACCTACTTATAGGAAATGTGAAATCGCATATCTTCCAGCCTTCAGAAACAATTGTGGGAATTCAGGCCTGAAGCATTTCATCTTAAAAGTAAATTGAGCATTCTAACGAGGAAGTGAATATGAATGGATAATCACACATAAGCCAATCAATCCGACTTCATTTATTCACAAAGGCCCATTTTCAGACAGCGGTCGCAATTGTATGGCCCTTACGTTCACTGAATGGACGTTTGTTTTCGACATCTGAACTCATTTTAAAATATTTGAATGGGCACACGCAGGTGGTAAAACGGTCTGCAGTAGTCAACCTCTACAAAATTGGACATCGTGTGGTTCAAAATATGCGCCCAATGATTCGAAAAGTCAATTACAAAAAAGGTGTGTTGGGGGTGTATACACACACTGTCCAAATCAGATGTTAACGAAATCACTTGCAGTGGATTTTGGAAGTTTCCGTTGATACAATATTCGAACCCTAAAATATTTATAGATTACGGCTCGCAAAGACAAGTTAACGCACAAGTGAATTTACATGGTGTGGAGCAGACGTGAAATTCTTCTGAACCTCTGGACAAATAAACTGTAAATTTAAATGGTTACGATTGAGACATTTTATATAGAAATGTAACTGGGAAAATCGATAAGCACTTTTTTTTATTAAACGCCTAATGGTTTTATAAATAAAGGGCAATTGGAATAACCATATTTTAATATAAATCAGGAGGGGAATTGAATTTACCTGAAGACCACCTCTATGACAAATAGGGGAGAGGAAGAGGGCACCGTCAAGAAGAGGAAAATGATCATACACGGGGAGGAGTCGACCACAAGCCAGGCAAGAGACTTCAGACGCACCGTGACCTGTCAGCTGACAAAGAACAAAGGCCCTTGTATCCTCATTTCCGGTACAACTGTCATCTTCCAATTGGATGAAATAGCCATTTCGCTTCCACGCCTGTAACCTCTACAAGGGATCCAAATGGAATGCTACTGAAATGAACCATGTGATTATAAGTAGGTAAAAAACGAGGAAGATGTAAGTGGGTATACTACTTATCGGACAATTTTCCATTTATTTATATTAGCCTACCTGGGGTGTGCGATAGACTTACCTCCACGTGGTGCAACCTGGGCAACGTATACTCATACGGCAAAAAAGTCTATTAACCGGCAGTTGACTTCTGACTTCAAACTGCCATGATCCCACTCTATGTCATATTCGACTGCTTCCACAGTACTCACCTCACCTTTTTCTACAGCTGTGTCTGTCTGTTTCGTTTAAATCTGTGAATCTCTATTCTGTCCCCCCTCTCGACATTTTGCTACTTTGATGTTCCTCCCCACCATGAACCCCGAAGTCAACTAAAGGGCTAATGATAACTATCAAAACGCTGTCATTTGCTATAAATAAATAAATAAATATTAGCCTACCTCAAAAACGGAAAAGTCTTTTCTCTGACGAAATATATTTCCCTTGGCATTGAGTTGACACGTTCCTGTCCCTAACGTGGGGACGGAAAAGGACATGCGTCTCTGGGCATTCTTTTGTTGATTATTTTGAGCAATTGTTGAAATGTTTCCAGCTGCCATTGAACCCGATCGCTGACGAGCGTCTGCAAAGCCTGAAAAGAAAACAAATAAAGGTTTAAATTTCTCCTAATAGGTAATTACTACTTTGGATTCATGAAACTCCTAAATTGATCAAAATTATCTTTCTTTTTTTAAATTTACACAAACGATTTGATAAAATTAAAGAGGGAATGTATGGGAAAGGATAACAAAGTTAATTTGACGTCAGATCGATTATAATTAAGCAAAACAGGACATTCTAACTCTCCTCCTTGAGCGTCAATAGATGTAAGAATAATGTCAGTTATCAAAGCGTCCTACTGTATTTACTCTTTTGTATTTTTCAGTTTGATTTTGGATTCTGCAATGCTTACTAAACAGGTAAGTATGTTCCTGTATACAATATCAAGTGCTTATTAGTCGGTCTTTAATTACTATGAATGGACTTGTCACCACAAGTTATTTTTCTTAAAAAGTTGTCAATGCTGATTGATGTTTTATGATAGTGAGTAACATATGAGTGACTTTATCAGATGTAAACATATATATATATATATATATATATATATATATATATATATATATATATATATATATATATCGCATATTGAGCAAGCGCTAAGTGATCGCAGAAGTGTACCAACCAATCAGAAATTAATATTCATTCAGAGTAGCCCCAATTTTGCCCACAATGTCCAGTTACTCTCCACTCTGTACCTCTTGCATTTTCACTGCTTTGAACGTAAGCTAACCAATATTGTGAGTAATTCATACGAGTTGACCCTGTTAGAGGCTTTGTATACGTGACCTCTGAGAGGAGTCATACGGTTTACTCAAGGGCCTATATTGTGCATTACCTGTTAAACGTTATTAATTAATTAAAGGCATCCATTTTCATAAACATAGATTAAATAAAATATCACAAAGAAATTTGTTTTAACAAAGTCCTTCAATTAAAACTAATTTAATTCTGCTCTTTCACAAATAACACGCTTTCAACAACTTAACATTGTCAAAACGAATGAATCCAATAATATCCAAAGTGAGAAGGTAGCCTTTAGTGGCTCCAATAAGAAAATCACACGTTACAACTCCTGTTGACTTGAAACAACCAGAGCACTTTGTTGACAGTATCAAGGAATCTTACGCTATGAGCATTGATCTAGGAGCAGAGGTGCGCACACTCACACACCACTCCACCATCAATAATTACATATTCAGTAATAGCATTGTTATCCACAGCAAAGCATAAAAAAGACGTTTACATGTTTTAGTGCGATAAAGGATCCAGATGAGACGAAAAAAGATTGGGACTGAAGGTGGATTGGGAGGGGGGGGGGGGGGGGTGTATCGATAGTCTTATTATTTTTAAATTTTGAAAGTTTAGAGTTAACCTTATACTCACAAGATGTGAACTGACCCTAATGAACTGGTCCTAATATTCAAATATAATCACACTACCCAGGTTCATCATTGAAAACGTGCTCACACATTACTTAGAGCTTGCTAATCAGCTGATTTAGTTTTGCGATGCGACTAGTAGCAACATGGTCAACACGACAAGGTCACTAGAGTTCACGTAGGATAAATTCATAGATTTAGAAAGGCATTTATTTAATTTGTACTTGTTGCCTTCACTTGTAGGACGTCTTGTTTTTCAATTAGAATTTTTATTTTCTTTATTCAACTCTAAACTAATAAACAGGAACAAACGCATAGAAATCCTAGAGGGAAAGTCTTTGGTAGTCGGTTTGATCATCCATTTATCTCTGGTTTCATGCATACAATGTAATAAAGAGTGATACCATCAAGTTAAAAGGAGTTTTCTGGCTTTATGAATATTAGATTCGATCGACGTTAAATCCAACATAAGCTTTGCGGAAACGGAAAGGTGAGATTATTAACGATAGTAAGGAAAAATATTAAAACATAGAATTGTAAAGGTAGAGAGTTAGGTGGGGGCGGGGGA